GATCAGGAGATACGCATCTTCTCTCCATGGGCAGTTTATTATTATTATGCGGGATTTATATACCGTCAACAGTTTGCGCAGCGCTTTACAATATAAGGAAGACATTACAATACAATTCAAGACAAGATGGTAAGGAAGGCCCTGCCCCTGAGGGCTTACAATCTAAAGTTTAGGATTCAGTGTTAGTTTACTAGATTGCTGTGGAGTTTGGCATCACAAGAAAACATGTTAAGCTGGTCATACACCTTTTAGGTTTCACTTGTTCACTCCTGCGGGCTGAATGAAAAAAATCAGTCCATCCCTTCATCCATGCTGTTTAGTGTGGATGAGGGAATCTCCCCTGCCTGCTATTTAACATCCAGCGGGACTTATGGCTAATGAATACCCAAGCAGTGCTGAAAAATCAAATTTGTCAAGCTGGGTGGTTCCAACAGAGCAACACACGGCTCCAATTTTGAACATTTCAGCAGCAATTGACCAAAATTTGAGCAGCGTATGGCCAGTATTTGTATTATCAGGTTTATTATCTTATGTAAATGTGGATAGAAGAGAGAAAAACAAGAGATTCGTGACTTTCAGATTCCTCTGCTTTTACAGAGATGTCAGCTGTGGAGGGCATTCATATTCCCTTGTGCGAGACACAATTTAGCTAGGAAACTAGACGAGGTTGTTGTCCCTTTTAACCTTTGTGATGTCATTAGTTCATTGCGATACTCTGGGCGGTGAGCTGTGAGTAGCAGTGCTTCCTGCCTGTACAAGGTCTGCCTCTTCTGTATGCAGACAATGGGCCCAATGTCATCAGTGCTCTGGTGTGACTAGTCAGTCCTAACTGATTTAGCGGTGAAGATAAATGGTTTGTGCGTGTAAAACACAGAGCTTGTTCCTCTTCGCCCCTCTTCCTCAAGTCACGGCCTTCCAGTTCATTTCAAGCCTAGTGTTTAGTACAAGCCCCCCGGGGGATCATGTGTGGTGGAACACTTTATTGTCTGCTGTTAGGAGACATGTCATTTTGCAGAATGTGAGGTGTAGTGATGGATATTTTCACTTATTTTATCTTGTAAATGAATTGCACAAAGCCAGGTCACCACGAGCCAGCCTTTCCATTTTCCTTGTCAGGCACAGACAAGACTTTGATGGCTGCAAGATAAAATTATGAATTCAGACGCCTCCTGACTTACAGTGATTCCAATCTCCGTTTGCTTTATGGCTCTTTTTTTATGAAATAAGCAGCTGTATTGGAAAACATTGTATTCTCCCCAAGACTTTATGAAGAGCTGTCACAGTGTGAGTAACTGACTATGCCATGACAAGGACATTCCCTGCCAGCGGTGTGCTTAACTAAATTGTGCTTGTGGTATCTAGGACTTATTGTACGGACTCGGTACCTCAGTGTGGGACGAGAAGCCATTTGCGTTAGTATCCCTTTCTCCGTTCTATAGACTTTCTCATTTAGTAGTTATAAAGCTGTTGCCTCAGAGGTGTCATTTCTAAGCCTTTTCTGTGTTTTTCTTCATGTCAGACCCTTCAGCAAGGAGAACAGTGAGCAGCACAGCAGTGACCTCACCACATCTCCTGAGACTAGCACTCGGATTCTGGTCCCCAAACCCCTAGCTTTCTTCCGAGGCCCTTCTGGTATTACAAGACACAGTATTGAGGTGGACCAGTGGATTGAACTATTGGGCGCAGCGGGGGACTAGGCGCCCTTTTCACTGTTGTAGGTCAGTTTGCAGCACAGATGACCGCAGTGCAGAAATGCTAAGTATTAGGGATGCACCAATACTGGTAACGGTGCCGATGCTGAGTATTTGGGCGAGTACTCTGTATTTGGTAGATACACTTTTTTTAAATGCTTGTAATATAAATTCACCCAGTGATAGAATGCATTATTTTATAAATTTAATACACTTAAACACTATTGCACATAGGCTTGTTGGCTCCATTTTACCTGTCCTATTATAGCACTGCATAGGTCCCTTGTTACTGTATGCTTTTAATGTATCCCGATGAAATTTGTATATTGCTTACATAAAAAGGGGAGGAAAGCTTGTCAAGCCTCTGTGATCTGTGATTCATAATGACCTTCCATGTAATGGTGTTCTACTCGGAGGTATTAGAGAGGCATTATCATAATGCGCATATGGCAGGTCAAGACAAAGGGCTGTATTTATAGGAGAAGCAATCATGCCGCAATGATATTCATAGGCTTGTGTTAAATCTAGTCTCCCCGTGGTGATTTTAAAGCGCTACACAGTATATATATTTATCTCTGGTGATTTTTTAAAATACATCTTTACAATCAAACTCTAGAATTTTTGTTTATTATGAGGAGACATTGAAATGGCACTTTCGGATGGGCAGTCTGATAATATGCAGTCTAGTACCTGATACCCGCACAGTCAGTCTGCCTGCTCCCTCTACGACATTGTTCTGATTGACATGCTCAGTTTACACAGAGCAGAGCATAGCTGCTCCCATTGCATCGTGGGTGATATGCTCATATCACCCCCCCCCCCGGCTTAGTTCTGACCTGCTGAGGTGGAGGGATGCTCACAAACAGAGATTCAGATTTCTTTAATGTTTTTGCTAGTGAGAGATGTAAAAAGTGAGACAAGAAGTTGCCATTTTCTATATGAAAAGTCTTGTTTTCATGGTACAGACAGCCATCAGAATGTTTTTCACATTTGTGTACCTTGGTGGTGATAGGAAATGACTGGTGTGAAAAAATAATGGTGTTAGGCATGTCAAGTTTTGCCTTTTACATACCCTCCAAATACCGCCTGTCGCTTGTCATCGTGATTAATTGTAATCCTTTCACGCGGTTCCAGACCCAGCAATGTGATAATTGTACCATTATTTGTACGTATTTCTTTCATTTGCATTTTGGTTTTATTCTCCATTATCTAATGTCATGACTGCCAGCCAAAAGGAATGACATTTACAGCATATCTTTTCAACCATTTGATTCTTTCCCCTATAGGAATTTATCATCTTCTATACACAGTAGGTATTTATTCATTGACCTAAATTTATATACATGTCTGCAGTACAGATCACAGCTGTGTTGGAAGCACTGTGATGTACTTTCACTACACATTATTAAAGTAGATGTAAACCAAATCACTAAAATCTAAGTTTTACTATATTAATATAATTTGTACAGTTTTTCATCCTTTGACATTTTTAGCTGTTCAAAAAACAAAAACAAAAAAAAACCCCCTGATGATCCTGCCTTTTAGATCATTGTTCAGGCACTTTGGCCAGCATGTTGCTGGGCGAATGCTGTTCTCATGGCATTATAGTTGCTAAATAGAGTTAGAGGAGCATAGGAGTTTTCTGTGCTCCTCAGCGCCATCTAGTGCCTGTAAAACTGAGTCGTTCGGTCAGCTACACACTGTGTGAAACCATTGCACAGTAACCCCTTCCTGTCACATGCACCCCTGGCAGGGCTGTAAGAGGCTGTGCCAACACACATTGTACAGGCATGGCCCACTGATGTCACTTATCAGGGAGCCAGCCCAGAAGAATGACATGCAGCTGATGCTGGTTTGAGTGCATGTAGAACAGAGGTAGGCAAACTCTGGCCCTCAAGCTGTGGAGAAGCTACAAATCCCGTCCCCATAAAGCTTTGCAAGACTCTGATAGGCACGTCTCCCAGAGTGCGTGCTGTGATTTGTGCTCTCAGCCACAGTTTGCCTACCCCTGATGTACAGAAAATGACTGAAAAAGGCTGGAGAAGATCAGCAGCACTGAGATGAGTTAAGGATGTAAAAAATGGCAGTAGTTTGGTACGCAGTGCTTCAGCAAACTAAATGACATTCAATTAAGATTTAGAACTACTGTTACTACTGTGGGGGGGCATGCATGGCTGTGGGGCCATTGACTTCAACGCATGGGGGTGTTTAGTATGCAATAGGGTGCGTTCCAGCAGCTAACCGCGCTGGACCACACTGTAAGTGGTGTGAAGAAGCCCTAAAGGGTCAGTTTATTGAAGAAACCAGCAACATTTCCCTGTCTCTGTTTTCAGGCAGAGGCGGTGTGAATGGAGCTGTAACTCATGATATAATTGGTCTCATTGGCACCTGTGACACTTGTTTTTCTGCTGGGTTTCACGTGGTTTTGCTTGTTCGCAGCCTTTTCATTAACCTGGCCCTTTCCCTTTACTTTGAAACATTTGGCAATGTGTCCCCTTTGTGTGCATGCGCTAGTATTGTAATTGCTGCCTGGATAGCACCAGTTAAAGGGCAGACTTTTATACACTGGCTGACTCCTTCATGTTAGTTTTTTTTTTTTGCCTGAATCCAAGTTGTTGATAGCACAAGAAAATAATTACTGATCCCTTGCCATGTCAGATATCATTTGAACAAGCTCAAGTCATCCTCAGGAAAATCTAATTTGGTTTTTCCTGGTAGTTCCTGTGATGGGTTGCTTCGGCTTGACAATTAGAGGACAGAATGTGTTTGCCTTGGGTTTTAATAGCGAGCTATACCCAAGAGGCTCCAGCTTCCCCATTTACGTGGCGGGTTCTCCAATCTGTGATCTAATCGTCTAGTGTGTCCTTTCCGTCTGTGTCCTGCTCACTGTGTGTGTGTGTGTGTGTGTGTGTGTGTGTGTGTGTTAGGATGTTGAGCTGATTAACCTAAATATGATTTTATAGGTGCATTAGTAAGCAATAAGCCCCCTAAAAACACTCTGCTAAACCCTGTGTATGCTGGCCACACAGCATAATATGAACCTATTTCTGTTAAAATAACTTGGATTAGAAATTTAGTTTGACATATTAGAAGGGAAATAGCATTGAACCTATGTATGTATTCTATAAGCATCAGATAGGTGCAGGCAAAAAAAGGTTACAGGGTGTCAGGCCTTGGGTTACACATTAGCTGCTCCCTGTTGCAGGTAAAGTACCGTAGGTAAAGGTGTTAATTGGTTTTATTTTGCCTAAGGCCTCTTAAAAGGGCAATGACCTCCCATATTGAACAATTTTTCTCTTTTCTCCTCAGACTGTGTATATATTGAGAGCCGAAGACCTAACACTCCATACTTTATATGTAGCATTCAAGATTTCAAACTGGTAAGTGGGTTTTTTTTCCTGTTGTTCTGTATATAAAGTATTAATGTGTTATGCAGCATGGAGATGTCTGTTCAGCACTTGCCATCATTAAATAAATCTGGATCATTTAAACTATACATATGTTAAAAAAGATGCTTAAGCAGAGGATACATTAAGATAGAGCAGAAGCCAACGTTTTTTCTTTTTAGTTTTCGATAGTCAGGGGGGTTATAACCCTTGCCTGCTTTTTTTGTGTGTGTTTGTTGGTTTTTTAGCTATCCGTGTCCCATTGGGGAGATTTCCCTTCACTTTCTGTCAGCAACAACAGGAAGGGGAAGGAATTCCCTCCCCTGACAGGATCACCAAAACGAGTGGTCCCATTGAAAGGTTCCTAATTTATTCCTGTTCTGATGCCCACCCAAATTTTGTTTTTTTTCTTTACTTTTAGTGATAAGTCATCAGGACAAATAGAGAGGGGGGAATCTCCCTAATGGGGATACAGAAAGTAAGATCGCTCCCGTGGTGGACTACAATCTCATGTTTAGTTTACTAATTTGTATTGAGATTGTAGTCCATCACAGGAGTGAGCTTGGAGCGGTGACTACTTTACATCACACACAAAGGCCATGGAGAACAAAAGTAGTCACCCTCCAGAAGGAAGGACAGTGTCGGCACCAATTCAGAGATGATTGGAGGATCTACAGCCGAGTGATACACAAATAAGATACATTGTTGTTAAGAGTTGGGGTACTTGAATACATTTTTAAGATTTCACTCCTGAGTTTAGTGTCACTTTAAAGCTGAACTCCGGGCAGATATGAAGGAACCAATATTAATGCAGCTCGGTATTCATCATTACATCGTTGGTGAACCCTGTCAAGTGTCAAAACATTTCCTGAAGTAGAAGTGTAAAGGTGCCCATACACCTTACAACCAAATACTTTTGTCTTGCGATGATTGTAAGCTAATTAAAAGCTTGTACGATCTGCCCATCTTGGACAGGCAGATCGTACTTGCGATCGTTGAAGGCCCGCCCCGCTGAGGGGCGGGCCTCCGATGACTGCAATGCTGAACAGGCAGCGTGCGCTTGCGCACAACGGCCCGTTCGGCATTTGTCTTACGAGCAGGCCACAAACACGGCGACAATCGTACGATTCTCTGCGGGTTTTCAAGCCTGCTCGTAAGATAAAAGACGTGCGACCGTACAGTAGAAACGGTCGCACGCCTTCCATAAACCTTGCGATTATCGTACGATCGCGGCATTTCCTGCGATTATCGTACAATAATCGCAAGGTGTATGGGCACCTTTATACTTATTTCTTTGGTATCCCATGTCTTCTTCTACTTTTAGTCAACCTGTGGTCAGACTACAGACAAACTATTGACATATTCTTAATCAGTCAAGAGATTTAATGCAAGCCATTACTGACCTCACTGGGAGAGGAATTTATCAAACCTGGAGCAGCTGTGCATGACAACCAATCAGCGTCTCTCTTCAGTTTGTATAGTTAAGATTTGAAACTGAAACGGAGAAGCTGATTGGTTGCTATGCACATCTGCTTCAGATTTTGTCTGCTCCAGTTTTAATAAATTCCACTCTGGATGTTTTCATTGTGAAAAAGATCTCAAGATTAGAGATCCTGAATCATCTCAACAAAGACTCTGGAATTGGATTTCATTCAGTTTCTAGAAGCTCAGTAATACCTTCTGGCTGTTTCCATTAGAGGGCTGACAGCTTGTCCAGGTTCTCTTCTCATAAATACACAGTGTCTGCGTTGTGAATGTTGAATATGAATTTCTTCACAATGCTTATAGATACAGAGAGGAATGAGGGCTTGCTTTAAAGTGTTTATAGTACTTGTTCAGAATATGGAACTATAGTGTGCCTGATCTGGGCACAGGGCCATGCTGACTCCATATTATTGCTGCAGCCTCACTCTTGGGCATTGGACACTTTTGGACGTGTCGGATTTCTGGTCCCTTGACACGTGTTGTGGTTCCATCCCACACCACTACAGGACACAACAGCAAGTGCTGGCTTGTTTTCTGGACTGAAGTAAGAGATTGAGAGGAATTTGTTCACACCTGGATTAGCAGGTCTGCATTTGATGGTTCCAAAATCTGTAGATGGCCATCACTGCCCCATATGTTATCTCTTCAGAAAAGGTGAAATAAAAAGACACGTCACCTCTATTGTCAAAATATGGTGAAAATGTTCATGTGTGATTGTAATGAATTTTCAGTTACCTCTGTATTTTGCTATGCAGTCAGATCCATGAGAATGTCTTGCATAAGAGGGCACAGATCGGACCAGGAGGTTGTATTGTTTGTGGCTGACAGGACGGTGGCAGTTTTCCTTCATTTTGCATATAATGGAAATACTACTTCCTGTTTGTGGATTAATATTTGCTTCCCCAAATGGGTCTCTGTAATTTTTGTTGGCAGATTGAAGTGCGGCTTTGCTTCTTTTATTCTTACCCACCTTAATAATGCCTTTGCCGGAATCATGCTATTGTGCGCATTAGCGGGTACCTGGGATTTACAGCAGAATCAGTGAAGGAGTTATGAATTACAATGCGAAGGTTTCCATTCTGGGCCGAAGTTCCTGCTGAGTTACCATAATTGCTCAGGGATATTAACAGCAATAAAGGGCAGCTCTTTTGTTGTCAGTATTGGTTTTGCGTGGCACATTAAGGCTGTCTGCAAAACAGCATGAATCAGTGCACACAGATACCTGTCAGATGCTGCTCACAACACTCCTCCACTGGTAATTTAGTGTACAGTGAATGCCACCCCCTCCTCAGCCTAGAGACTTGATTTCATGCAGCGATACAGGAGTGTTTGTGGGTATATTGCAGAGGAAACCTACAGTGTTTGGCAGTAACTCTTGTACACGTCCCCCTTGGGACAGTAGACGTGTGCACGGTGGCAGCCTGTAATCATCTGATTAAAGATATTGTTTGGACCCAGGGAATTATCTATCACATTCCACTGTGGATTTAGGTAAAACTCCAGTTGCTATAAAAATCAATGGTAAACGAATAATCTTGGGTTATGTGCGGTTAGTGTCCCCCTCCCCCCAGTGTAGGTTCTTCTGTAACAACATTGAATGTTCCCTATCTCTTCCTAGCATCCGAGAGCATTTTTTCTGAAGGGTAGGAGTGCCCACTGCTGTATTAAATTGCATTGAAATTGATGGTTGTTCTAACACCAACAAAGACAGGCCAATGCCTAAGACGGGCTTAGTTTACGTGTAAAGGACCAAAAGTATTTATTTCTGAAGAATCTATTCCAATTGGTTGTCCCCTTGCAGGCTGTTGGAGAGGGGTATCGGTGGATGGATGTAAATCACATTCTGTTCTATGCAATTCTTAAGCTTTTCAGCTTCCCATCAAATGCGCTATACTTCTTTAGAAAGTCACTGGTTGAGCACTGGTACCTACAGGCATGGTGGCCATCTAAGCCAGATTGTAGAACGATATTTCTGTAAAGCTGGCCATACACCGTGCAAATTTCGGCCAGTTAATGAACCAGCCGACATTCGCTCAGTAGGTGGCCATGTTGGCCGCCTTCCATCCGGCATCCTTCAGAAAATCGAAAGGTGCCAGTCAGGAAAATTCTTGGGTGAACAGTGATGGCAGCCAATCAGCTGTGCTAGAATACGAAAGGCCAGCAGGATATTTGCTGTGGATGGAGGAGTCTGATAT